AAAATGAAATATCAATAATCTCGAAAAGACAAACGTTTGAAATTCGAAAATATGCAAAATCATTACCTTTAAAGAATTATTCAGAGTTCATTGAAACATACAATAGATATTTGTTCCTAGAATTATTTCTTTATTCATTTTCATTCGATTTTTCAAACTACAGGAAATAATAAACTTAAATCTAAATGAAATCGTTCTGTCGTTTTACATCTGTTGGCTTTGGAAATTGGTTTAAAAATTACAGAAGTAATAGTTGGTATCGGATACTGAAATTTGGTGACTTTAAACATTCGTTTGCTGTATCTCAAGCAAATAAAATGTATCGATAATAAAACAGAAACAAAAAAAATGAAATTACCACATTCTCGATAAGTGTGGAATATCAATAAAACTAAAAACACTCATGACTCTTTTAGTCTTTTCTCGGCTTTCGCTTCCGTGCACCGTCTTTAGGAACTGGTTCATCATTTGTCTCCAACTTGATGAACCAACAAGTAAACGAATAAAAATTAAAATCAATCAGTTTAATGAAATTTTTTGATTAAATTACCTCATTTTCATCGTCTTCCTCTTCATTTTGAGATGTGGTAATTGGCTCCTCCAGATCCAATTTACTAGCTGGTCGCGAAATATTTTTGGTTTCTGATTCTTCAATTTCAAATTCTTCTTCGACTTCTTCGTCATCTGGTTGAATTTCATCAGTTTTTTTCGCCTTGACACCCTTCTCACGTGGTGGATCCTATTTTATCACAAATGATTGCACACGTAAGATGGAAATATTATAAAATACTTTGCAAACATGTTTGCCGTTTATGTTTGTGAATGTCTCTACTGAGAAAGCACTACTGTACCTTATTGAAGCATCGAAAGTAAATGAATAATGTGATTGGCAAACCACCAGCAAGAACAAATACAGCCCAAAGCCATGGCTTGTCATCGGTTATTTTCAATAGACGTTGCAACATGGTTTCCTACAATTTTAGAGCGAAGGGGGAATGAATGATGAAAGGCGAAGGATACAAAACGAGCGATATACTAAAAATTCTAAATACGTGAAGATCAAATGATTCTAATTTAATATGATCGAATATGATAATAAAAAACAAAGTCGAGATATTATTATATTGCATGAGGAAGATGGTATCTAGCGGCGAGCGTTTTAAGTTTAAATTTCCACTTAGTACCTCACGTGTTCTCTTCCACAAAAACCATACGTAAATTGAAATTGGTATCATACAATAAATACCATAGATAGTCCAAAATAATGGCTTATTTTCAATGGTAGGTAATTCTTTCCTCTCACTTATACTCTCACCCTACATGTCATTTCATTAAATAATGTCAGCAATTAATTTTATCAGCAACACCAATTTGTTCTTCATTGAAATTTTAAGTTTTTTTTTTCATATTGATCATATAACGATGGGTATTTTTGAGATTTCAATGGAAGTGCAACTAAATTTAAAACAGTCTTACCGATTGCAAATCCATTTGCTTCTGTTTTAAGTCAAATGTAACAGCGGCCCATTCATCAGCAACAACGATATCTGAGTAAAATTAAAATTGTGGTTAATTACTTTTTTTCAGTCAATTTGTTTGGCAATTAATTCATTTTACCATCAGTAATAAGAAGATTATCGAATAAAATGTTATTTGACATCGACCACAATTCGAGACCAACAGCTGACTATTGTTTTTTTTTTTTTTTTTTTTGGAAAAGTTTATATTGTAATGAAGAATTTATATTGAAATATTGAAAATTAGTGAGTGGCTTACAATTGGTGTCATTTTGAATGGATTGAAATCTTCGAAAAAATCTGGATTTGCTATACGTCTTGGAGCCCATTTTCCTTGATAAATTTGAAAATATAAAATGTTGAATATTTTTACAACTAATTCAATTTCTATCAATTCGTTTATGAATTTGAAATATCAATAATCTCGAAAAGACAAACGCTTGAAATTCGAAAATGTGCGAAATCAATACCTTGATAATTTGGATTGTCAATGAGTGGTGCCCGCCATTTGCCACGGTATTTTGGATTTGCAACCAATGGTGCTTTCCAAAGGCCACAACCGACTGCTTTTTCACAAATTGGATTTGGAATCAATGGGGCTGAGGTGACAGAAATCATATAAACATAATTTTAGATTGTTCAGATGTATTTTGTTTATCATGTAAATACTTATTTAAATATAGAAATAACAAATCAAGCAATGAATACCTTCCCATTCTCCGTCAATTTCTGAATCCCAGTCTTCCGGTTTCTTTGCTGTGGGATCATGTATCATAGTTTCCTCGTCATCAAGCCATCCAGTCGGCTTATTTGCAGTAACATCTGGTATTTGTGGTGGTTCTTGTTCATCCCAGTCTTCTGGTTTTGCTGCATGTGGATCTGGTATCTATTTCAATAGAATTGTATTTAATAAATGTATGTTTAACTGTTATTATTTTTTTTGTACTTTTTCACGTTCATCCCAGCTCTCTGGTTTAAAATCTTTTGGATCATCGATCTCCTTTGGTGGATTAACTGGCGGTGTGAAATCTGTTAGTAAAGAGCCTTCGTTTATAATTTTATGATCGACGGCAATCGAATACGTATTATCCGGGCGCACAATTAACTGATATAAATGCGGTTTTTTGTCGGTGAATACTTCTTCAATACGCTCTTTAGTCTTTTTTGCATGTTTCTCTTCGATAGATCCATTCAATGGATTTGTATGACGGAAGATAAAATGCAATTTATAGTCATTTCCACATTTATCAGGACCTATAATGTATGTGTTAAATAATTAGCATAATTTGTATATGATTGGAATTGATATAATTGTAATCAACAACGTATTAAATATAATATTTACCAAACATAATTGTATAAGGTGTTTTGTCATGAAACTGTAATAAAAAGTAAACAAAATACGTTTGTAATAGAAAAACAATTAAAATTCAATGAAATTACAGTTTTCAAGTCAGTAGTTTCTTTTCCGGATGATAAAAGTTTGATGTAAGATCCACCGCATTCTTGTCCATCCTAAAAAAATCAAAATAAATTGTAATATACAGTGTTTACATGTGATTGTAGACAGAACTGACTTGTAATTGAACTTCATATTGGACAATGAGAGGTTTGTCTGTGAAAACGAATGGCTTAATCAAACGAGAGGCAATAGCTGAATGACGTGCTTTCGATTTCAGAACTAATCCCAAATCATTTCTTAAAATTGGTTCTTCCGGCGCTTCAATTGACCATACTCCATCGTATTTATCACTGTCATCCTCTCCCTTCTTTGCCGTCGATTTTATCCATTTTTCATCGAAAGTCTGGACATCATCAAAGTGTTCAGCAAAATGAAATTTACCAGGTTGAATGGTCGGACTCTCATACTGAATGACTGATTCTAACGATTCATATGCAGGTTTTGGATTCTCCTATAATATATAAACAGTGGTATTTATATAGTACATTCATATAATCAGAGTATTGCTCAGCGCTGCTGCCATCCACAGCATATTAAAATATCTTGCTGAGAATGCGTCGTCCGTTGCATGCGAATGTACGTAGCAGTTTTTACATCACAGCGAACAAGAATGCATGCATTTTTCTTTTCACGATTATGTGACTCAAAACATTCAAACGATTGTATAGAGAACAATGCATGTATTTTTGTTTGCTGTGATGTAAAAACTGCTACGTACATTCGTATGCGATGGACGACGCATTCTCAGCAAGATATTTTAATATACTGTGGATGGCAGCAGCGCTGAGCAAAACTCTGCATATAATAAATGAGTTTTCTTTACAATTTTCTCAGATTCAATTGATAATCCGTCATCGTCATGATCATCGTTTGCCGAAATGGTGACTAGATAAGTTGATAATATTGCAATCAATAGCAGAGTGTCGAATCGCCAACGCTTCATTCTGTAAATCACAAAAATAATTCATCAATTTTCTGGAAGTTATGTCTTTAAACCACGTTACATTAGAAAAAAATTCAAGGCAAAAATTGAATTAGACCGAAATGAATAACTAATTCATTCCATGAATCCATTTTATAGTTACAGGTTAATATCAAAGCAAACAATATTTTTTCCATGTATTTGTGTGACAGAACATATCGTTAATGGCACCACATACAAACATAACATTTAGGAGGGTGACTGCACATGAACCAAAACTAAATTCAATTAATGGCAATTATCAACGAGTCATACATATGAAAAATGAGTTTCTACGCAAACATTTATTTTCATTTTTCACAGATTTAAATCTGAACAAAATTCTATAATGAAAACATATAGTATGATAAAATTTTATTTATTTTGAAAAAAAAAAGAAAAAAGAAAATTGTATTCAGAATTGAAACGTTATAATTGAATTTATCACTAATTTCATTCAATAGCTCACAATCCAATTAGATGGTTCAATTAATATTGATGGAGTAACCAATTTATGGACATTCTCGAAAATTTTCAAAATGCAATCAAGGGAGAATGATAAAAAACCCGATCTCCTTACTTCAAAAAGGATAAAAGTCAGGCAAATAACATGGAAATCAGATAAATTCCAAAAAAACACACACAAATTTTTTCTTTCTGAAATCGATTGTAATGTGCGCCAATGAATTTTTTCCGTTCCAGAACTTACTTTTATAGGAGGTTGAACTGAACGCCAATGCCAATATCTATTCTAGATATTTTTGACTAGTTATTTCAAATATATGATGATTATTTGATGAAAAGGTGTCTTCTGAATTGTTTATGGAATGTATGGATTCGGAATAAAAATAAGTTTTCACAATAACTTGATGGTAAAACAAATAGAACTGAGTTAAATGAATGAAATGACGAACAACTAGCGCGAGTGAGAAAGATAAAACAACTACAATGACATTTGGTTGAATACGTGAGTGTCGGCGATTGGATAGTAAAAATGTAGTATGTGCATAAAGAAACGCCGCATGATTCAAACGTCAGATGGGTGGTTGTTGTTGTTGCAGCTGCCGTGGTGAATTTGAAATGCACTGATTTTCAAATATTATGTTTTCTATTGAAAATTGTTTGTGTTGTTTAAAATGTTATTTTTTAAAAAACTATTTATTACATATTGAAATAAAAATTCGAAATGAAAAATAAAAATTTGTGTAAAATATTCATCATTCAAATAGGTGGTATTTCCAGTTGAAAAAGGTGAATTCACCACAGCCTTTGTAAACAATCGATCACAAGTGTCATAATGCGTACGCATACTGAAACAAGTAAACACACAAAGCAAGGCTGAGCACAGCAGTCATTAGCAGATGTCATTAGTATTGAATTGAAAAGGTCCAGTTTTGATACGCAAAACAACAACAAAGACATACAGTGCGAATCACAAAAAAAATATATAAATCAAATCGTAAATAAACAATCATGTTGTAAACATTGATAAAAATTTCCCATTTAAGTGCTGAAAATTTAAATACCTACACAAAACGACATTATCGGTCACCAAAACGTATTTTTACACATAAGAAAATTGTTTAATTTTTTCGAAAAAAGAAAATAATAAATTTTTTTTGTTATATGAACATGATTCATAAAACATTGCTATCGGACGGAATTAATGGAAAGATAATATTAATATTGGTGGTACTAACTTCAACAAAAAATACAGTGGACGCTTGTAAATGGACAAAATGCGAAACATAATTACACTCTATTTAAAAATATATCGTTATTGACCTTCGTTTCAAAAAAAAAAAAAATTGAAGAACACTCAAAGTTCCTAGTTGCTTAAAATTTTAATTTATATGCCAAAGTTCGAACGTGGCAAGTCCTGGTGTCAAAATTATTCTGTAAATGTGCCGAAATGTTGCGAAACTAATTTAACAAAAGGAACACAACGACAAAAAGTACCATATGCGTATATTTACGACACAATCGAATGTACGATATCAGTAAAACATATTCCACAATACAACGACACACATCACTCGAACTCAATTGAAATTGTGTACTTCAGCGATTTTGCATACATTTGAATTGATCTAGTATAGATCATTGAACAAAATCTTGTGGTTATCGCTTGAATAGGTGCATCTCTTGACACGAAACGTATGTGCTACTACGATTGTAATATAATATGTTTTTCGACTGATCCAATTGAATTGAGTTTCATTTTCAATTGGAAAGGTAAACATTAAATTGTTTTGAGGAGCTTAGGTTTGCGAATTTTTTTATATAAAATGTGTAAAAGCTTGTGTTCGTCGTGGCAACAATGGATTAAGGCAATTTTGATATTGCTATACACACTTTTTGTTATTATTGTCGTACCGTGGCTTATAGGTATGTTCATTGCATCATTGCATGAAATTCATTGGTTACGAATTAATCATTTTTCAACGATTTTTATTTTCAACAGTATATACGGTGAAGGATGGATTCACACGAAAAGATCAGCTGATTTTAGTAGGAGGACTATTTGTTTTGACATCAGTGCCCTTTTGTTTTTGGCATATCCTGCAGCATATGTTGCATTTCACCAAGCCAATTCTACAGAAGCCAATTATTCGAATTTTATGGATGGTTCCCATTTACTCCGGAAATGCAGTAAGTAAAAATAGAATTGAAAACCATTGAACAGTTCAAAATATCATTTATTTTCACATATCTTTGTGACCTGAATGCACTAGAGTAAAAAGAGAATATTATTTTGTCGCCGATCAAAGCAATCTGTATGAAACAAAAAATGGGTTTGCCTTAATCGATGAGGAATTAATCTACTATTTTTATTCTATAGAATTCAACTGTGCGTTGTATTTCATCATAGTTTATCAGTTGCGTATAATCAACTGCAGAAAAAAGCTTATTGCTTAATTTATTTGAACACAGTAGCATTACAGAAAACCTTCCAGTAGTGTGGAATTGCACGGTTTCACTTTTTTTTCATCAAAATAGAAAAATTCAAGTACTAACACTATTGGGAGGTTTCACTATATTATAATTCAATTTGTCATCGATCGTTTTTTTTGTATTACAGTTTCTCGGTTTGATTTTTCCTGAGTATTCGTTCTACATGAATAGTATGCGTGAATGCTATGAAGCCTATGTAATTTACAATTTCATGTCATATCTGCTGAATTTTTTGAATCTGGAAATGGATTTAGAGGCGACACTTGAGTTTAAACCACCTGTAAATCATGTGTTCCCATTGTGTTGCATGCAACCGTGGGCCATGGGTAGAGAAAAATTACCTTTCTATTATTTAATAATTGTTATTGATTAATTTCGATTATTTGTCGATTACTTATCGATTATTTCCAATTAATTCTTTTCTTTTGTGATTCTCCCCTTAGGTAGAGAGTTTGTGCACAATTGTAAACATGGTGTTTTACAATACGTCGTAATTCGACCTATTCTCACAATCATATCTGTGTAAGTCTGTCGCAAATTTTGTTATGCAAAATGATAAGACGTATTTCTATTATCTGTCATTGTGTTATTGTTTAATTATATCAATAGAATTTCCGAATGGAACGGAGTATATGGAGATGGTGTCTTCTCACAAGATGTTGCGTTCCCGTATGTAGTATTAATCAACAACATCAGCCAAATGTCAGCGATGTATTGCTTAGTATTATTTTATAAAGCTACTAAGGTAATTTTTACAGTCGTAATATCGATTAGTTCGTCAATTAACTAATTATCATATATTTATAGGACGAATTGAAACCTATGAAGCCATTGCCAAAATTCTTGTGCATCAAAGCGGTTGTATTCTTTACATTTGTGTAAGCATTCATTCTCTTGAATTGTTTTTTAGAAATGGTGTTTTGTTAACAAAGTTTACTCAATCTAATCTATTTGTTTTTTATTTACAGTCAAAGTGTTATCATCGATTTCTTGGTTTATTTTGGTTTTATAAAAGATATTTTCGGTGAAGACGGGAATAATGACTTCAATGGATTGTCCGTGAAGCTACAAGTAAGAAACTCTTCATGAATCTAGCCGTTAAAAATGTACTATGACTAATATCATCTTTTTTTCAGGACTTTCTTATCTGTATTGAAATGTTTATCGCTGCCATTGCTCACAAATTTTATTTCCCACACCAACCTTATCATATAAATATTCCAAATTTCGGCAATGATCGTACATGGTTCAACTCTTTGGCTCCCATGTGGGATTTTAATGATGTGAGAGAAGATTTGTCAGAGCATATTGGTGTTGTGGGCAGTTCGTTAAGTCGCAGATTCCGGGGTCGTACCTCATATTATATGGCAAGAGGAGCCGAAACCGATCGTCTGGTTATTAACAATGCAAATTTGGGGTCAACATCGTATCAAGGTGCATATAATATAAATAGTGCTTCAGATAGTGAAGGCTCAAGTCATAACAATCATTATGGAGCAATGAGTTCTAGCGACGATCGTTTGGCAATTGGTTCGAGTGACGATTTGGCAAAAGTTCATTTAAAACACCGAAACGAAGGAATTAGCATCAGGAATCAAAAAACAAAAGATTATTCACCACAATACGGTGTTCCAAAAGTATTAGGTAATTAATATAAATCATATAGACTGTGTTTATCAGAGTTCACAACTCCGACCGAGCTCAGACGCCGACCGACCGCCGACTCCGACCGAACCCAAGATGATCGGAGAACGGTCGGCGTCGGAATGATTTCGCCATCCGTGTTTTTTCCGAGTTCGCAATTTTTTGAAAAATTGGATTAAATAGTCTCGGCGTCCCTCGGCGTCGGAATCGAGAAATCGCCTCCGTTGCGAACACTGGTTTTTATTAGCACGTGTGTTTACAAAAATAAACATATTTTCAAATTTTTCAACTTTTCCGCTATTTTGTAATTTCTCCATAGGTAATTATTTTGTACAACAACCTCGAGTCACACAAAACGCAACACAATCATCAGCTTCATCATCACGATACGATCAAAACAATATCACCAGGAGTGAGTTGTCTGGTTTCGATTTATCAGCCTACGAAAAGGCAGCCAATACCAAAGCAGTAACAATGAAAAAATCTGATAGCAATGCAAGTGATTGGCTTAGCACACCGACTGATGATTTTCTGGGCATCGATGTCAAAGGCATTGAAAAAGATCACACACATTTTCGAAAAGATCCCAATATATAATGATGTCATTGTGATGTGATGTTTAAATAAAATTCTTACATTTCGTGACACATTGTAAACACCAAAAAGACAATCCGACACGCAAATATATGTATCTGAATCAGTGTGTCCATAACATATAGAAATAGCACTAAATAGTGTCGATATCTATACTATATCGGTCCACTATATATGGAAGATATTGTGGCACGGCACCGTATCGCACGATCGACGTGAGTGCGGATGGCAAACATGTTGACGCATACACACAGTTCTTTCTACTGCCGCACGGCAACTTGTGATTTTTGCCGTATACACTCACTTCGATCGTGCGATACGGTGCCGTGCGGCAATATCTTCCATATATAGCAGACAATATATTTAGCTGTCGTCATCTGGATATTACAGCTCATCTGGATATCGTCAGAAGTGAAAACAATAGAAGTGATTGTTATAGGTATATAAGCTTGTTATATACTGGTATTACTATAACAATCACTTCTATTGTTTTCACTTTGCATCATCTGCTGACGGCATCCAGATGAGCTGAAATATCCAGATGACGGCAGCTAAATATATTGTCTGCTATATAGTGGACCGATAAAGTATAGATATCGACACACTGATCTGAATGATTAATTATTTATTTCATCAAAAAATAGTTTCGATTTTGTTTATAGAAATAACATACCATATAAAATATTTTTTCAATTCTCCTTTTTTAAGGCATTTTTGTGATTTATTTTCAAAGAATAGTAAGTACATAATGTTAAGAAAATACCTTAATTATCATTTCAACATCTATTGAACGTTTGAATTAATTTGCTAAGAATATTCATTTAAGACCTATTTTATATTATTTTTCTATGGCCTTTTTTTAATAAAAAAAACTAGGTTTAAATTCACATCATATGTAGCGATATACATTTTCGTCATACTCTCAATAAAAAAAAAGAGAATCGATTGTACTTTGTTTGTCTTTTGTTTGATTGTTTGAGATAAATTGATATCCTAGAGGGTAGACACAAGATTTGTGACTGGAAAAGATTTGTTTATGAAAATATGAATAAAAAGATAAGATTGAAAAAAATTGTTCAAGATTGGTGAAGATCGGTAAAATTTGACATGATGACAATTAATTGAGAGGGATTAGATTAGCAAAGATTGGAAAAGATTGATGAAAATGGGCGAAATTTAATAGGATTCGTGGTACTCATGATAGTGTCTACCCTCCAGTTGATATCTGAATATCGTTGCAGCGGCAGCAAATGTTTATGATCATGAGTGATCATTGTTACAACCCCCGTTATCGTAATGTGCGATTGCCGTTCGAGCCATCTCCATAGATAGTTTTGTTGACAATATTCCATTCCGTTCAATTGAATTCCACATCGTGGCCATGAAAATGAAGAAGATAACTATGCCGCTGAATAGCATTTTGGCTAAAAGAAACACCATTCCCATGCCAAACGGTGGATAAATGTCAATTAAGAAAAATAGTGGAATGATCAAAAGTAATGCCATTACCTGCGAAATGAAAAAGGACAGAACAGTAATAATACACTTTTAGAGAAACGATAATGTTCTTGCCAACCAATTCAAAAACAACTTACAAAATATGTGTTTTTATCTGAGCGCAATCGTTTTAAAATTTGATCCAACACTTCAATGCCTTCACCTAGTGTATCAGCGTATTTTGATGCATTCGCTTCCGCATGCTTTGTTGAAGATGTCTTTTCTGACTCTGTTAATTTTGGCTTGCTTTCAATCAACATTTTCGCAAAAACTGCTTCATGGTCGGAATAGCTCATTTCTTGACCCGGTATCGTTGACGGTAGTGGGAGTTTATATTGAAGAACTTTCACCTGTGAATGAAAAACAGATTACCACGATGCATACTCCATAAAAAGGTTATAAAAAGTTACTTGATGACTGTATCCATTGCGATATAATATGTAATCGATCCGTTTTCCGTTCGGAGTCTTTTCTTTCAATTCAGGCGGTGTGTAAGAATTGTTTGCACACTCATTCGTGCAGCAATCACCATTTTCGGTTTTATTGAATGTTTCATGTAAACCGGATGCAGCAAGTAAAATTCGATATGCCAAATCGCCCGGTTCTGTATTTAAATCGCCTGCCAAAATTTGAACACATGTATCACATCGAGTTGATTGAATAAATTGAGCTGTATCGAATGCTTGAACGACCCTGTGTGCATTATAATCATCACTTTCACGATCATATTCTGCGTGGAGCTATAGAATTGATTTTTGATATTAATTCTCACACAATCAATCTTTTCAAATAAACGATAACACTTTACATGAGCAATATAAACATTGACACGATGTTCGCCAATTAGCAGTTTACATAGTCCGACACCTTTTCCACCAAACCAGTCACCTAGAATTTTTTGAAAACGTTTGAAAGATGAATGTGAAATAGTTATTGAATCCAAAAAATTAACTATTATTAATATAAACAATACCATGCTGAATGCGATGTACGTAACCGTTGACAGACCAAGCATGAAATAGTGTTGATATAATAGGATGTTTTGATAGAATACATAATCCTGATCCGAACACTCCACTTTAATATTTAAAAAAAAAAAAATATTTTTTTAAAATTTGTCAATCTTTGTCGTCGAAATATTAAACCTTTTTATATTATTAATTCATTTACCTGTAAAAATAGTGTGAAAATGGTAAATATTTTTCAGCAATTTTTCGAATCAATTGATAATCATTTTCCGTCCACACTTCTTGCAACGATATCACATCATAGTTATCATTAGCAGCGAAAAATTCACCGATCGCTTGCATGCGTACATCGCGATCTTTTGAAATGTATGGAATTCCCCTGCATAAAACAATACAGATTCATATAAAATACCCAACCTTGAGGCGTAATCATAAAAACAATGTGAGCCTTGCATATAATTGTTCACACATTTTTGGAATTGTACTTATTTACACTACAAAAATATTTATTTGCACTTCACAAAGTTTAATCTTCGATCGAATTACAAAATATCTTATCTGTATAATGTAAATTTTTATATCTTAATAAAGAATTATGGAAAACATTTGATTCAATCGATATGGTTACATAAATAATAAAATAAAAAAATAACATACCATACGTTTAATGTTAAAATACTTAATTCAAGTTGCATATTTATCAAATTCAGATATTTTTCGTTTAGTAGTTTTTAAATGCTTAGCAACACGACAGATTTTGATGTTTTGAATATCGAGACAAAATTCATTGTTGACAAAGAAACGACATTGACAGCCTGAAATCTCAAACAATGAAAACAATTACTTTCAGGTAATACTTTTTCTCCGAAATTTTTTCCTAAAATTTAAACAATTGTCTGTGCAAAATTATTATGAATATTTTTGTTAAGCTTGAAAGGAGCAGAAAGGAGAATCGATCTAAAAATGTATATCTTTACGAAAAAACCAGAACGTTTGTTAACATTTAAATAAAATAAAAATGTACATTTAATTTTATCATCTGGTAACACCAGGTTTTGCTATGAGAAAATCTGAATTGGAATTTATGAATAAAAAAAGTAAAATAAAAATGAAAAAAAAAAAAAAATACTGAATTAAGAATTTTTTTCGTTATGTGAAGAATGAATTGTAGATGCTCTCGTAAATCTCGAATTTGAATAACAACAAATTAAACAACAAACGAAATAATCTAGCCAGTATTACCATATGCCATTTCATTGTGACCATTCAACGATTGTAACGCCATCAAAACTGACATATCTACGCACGAATACAAATTGGAACGAAAAAAAATTATGATGGAATAAAACGAATGGAAGTCATTCTTAATATTCAATATGGCCGTCAGAGTTATTTTGTGTTTTGTTGAAAGATTGTAGCTGGACTGAATAATCATCGTCGCACTTCGATATACAGAAGAAGTACATAGTGATAATCGCTTCAAATTTATACTAAAAAAAAAGAGAAAATAAATAAATAAAAAGGACGATATTCATGAAGATTTTTCTTAGAAAGTATAAATAAATTTTGTGATTTCTGATAAGCGAAATTGTGACGCCTGGAAAATTTATAGCCCAGTTTTCAAATTCAATTTTAAAATGTGAGTGAAAAGTAATGAGAAACCTTAACTAGTCGAATAATCATATTTTATATTGCTAGTAAATTGGAATTTAATTTTTGCCAAAGATAAACATTGTTGGTGTAAATTATTATTCTTTATCAATTATTCTTGGAATAAAAAAAGACGATCCAAAAAATTTGATGTCTGATAATAATAAACTTTTACATCTCATCAAAGTCATCTAACAGCGCAAATGCGATTTGATTACAGCTTCGATGGTTTTTTTTTACATGTATGTGCGATATGTGATCCCAAATAATTGTTCTATGAACATTGCATCAACTTTTTTCATTCTTCATGGATTGCATTTGGAATAAGTGTGGAAATATTTTTCAAGAAACTGAATTCATCAAAATGTATTGCAATTGAATTGAACCTTTAATTGAATAAAATATTGAGAACAAAGAATTGCAACAACAACAATAACAGAAAGTGACAGAGCGATGGGATACACATCATCCATATACACTTTCATATATGCATATATACAAATACAGAAATAAAAAAAAAACTCGAATAGATTTACTAACACTAACCAGTGCAATTTGTTGTTATTACGGACAAACAAGGCGAAACAAAAAACAAAATGAAAAGTCAAGTGTCGATAAATTTATTTCCAAAAGTACTTTTGTGCATTTCCATCATGAATTTCAGTTTATAAACCGAAAATATTTTTTTTCTTTGAAATTGTTGACTGCTCGAAATGTTATTGTTGCAAAAAAAAGAAGGTTGCTTTTATACGCATCTTGCATACAGCGGAAGTAAATTTATGTAGTCGTTTTGATTATGCCGTATATGACTTATGAAATGTTGCATGTTTGTATGTAATATGTGTGCATGAAAATTATAAAATCAAATTATGAAATGAAAAGTACTTTTCAATTTAATCAGTCGTTGACAATGAATAATTGGCTTTGTGCATAATTAGTCTCTGAATCTGCTGATGTTAGCATTAAAAGAGATTGATTGCCAACGTTTTGGTAATTTACCAGTCAAATAAGTCATGTTCGCAACATAATTTGCACGCAGTCAACGTAATAACTTTATAATTATAAAGGATAAATGTGCATCATAATTTGCTTTTGCAACATTAGAAAAAGAAACTAAGGCGTGTTAAATTTGAACTCTATCTCACACGCAACACATTCAAATAAATGACATTCAAATGAATCGTTTATTCTTTGTGTCAAGTTGACACATCTATCGGCAATTACAACGATGAGCGAATACAATATAGAAAATACATACACACATTGTATGCATGCACACATTCATAAGCATATAAGATACTTTCCTATTGGATACACCCATACCAAAAGCAAAATAAAGAAAACAAGAAAAAAATAAACCCACAGTCAATTCAAATACATTCTCTCATTCTTATTGTTCAAATACAATATGAACTTATTTCTCATTTGTTTCGATTGTATTTGTTGGATATATGTGCGATATATTGTTGTTGATTCTGATTATATTAAGTTGTTTGCTTGCTGTACACGAACAACACATTCGTTGTTATACGATTCTGATATACAATTTGTGTTATGCGTCATCTCTTTTTGATACGAGAAATTATCAAATATAAATCTGAAAAATTATTTTAATGGTAACAAAAAACAATTCCAAGAATTCTTAATCAATACAATATTTAGAAGAAAATCCGATCGGTGAAATAAGTGGCTAAAATGGTTTATGGTTTTAAATAGTTAATTATCTCTGGAATTTATTATAATATTGTGAATTTTATTTTTCGGCCATAAGGCCATGTTGCTAATTAAAAAATCATTTCTTGATTTTCCAAAATGGATTGGTAGTAATTCAAGTGCAAGTTTAAATGTAAATGGTCAAGTCATTTTGATTTGGGAAATTTCAAGCAATTCAGCTCGATTAGCGATGCGCTTCATGAAACTTGCATACACACAAAGTGAGTTGATTTACGGTTTTAAATGCATAGCGCACAAACGACACATATATTATAACTGTTAATTATTTTTTTAAACAATCCTGGTAATTTTTATAAGCCGTTCTCCAGGTGTGGACATTACTTTGTACTGTATTGCATTTGAAGTTCTCTTATTTAAATCAATTATTATTCAGAGTGTTTATTACGTTTGATGTATAAGAAGATCATAAAAGTAGCACTGCACACCCATCATTAAAGCACTGTAAACAAAAAAAAATAATACACATAAGTATGTGCATACAAACGGCTGTGTGATCAAATAAGAAAACGTACCAAGAAGCCGTATTGCTGTTAAATAGAATTGACGACAGCATCTACTAAGTATTAGTGCAGAGCACGTCAAACTACAAAATCACGTGTTTTCCTAACTTCGACCAAAGCCTGTTTGCAAATATGAATTATGTATTTTTTCTTATCCGAAAGTTAGTAAATGCATTAACATTTTGAAGCAAAACGAAAAACACTTTATATTTGTATAGTTGATAATAAAGTTGGTTAATGTATGCAAATCAACATGTAACTGTTATAACAGTTATTATCATACTTCATATCTTTGTTTGAGCCAATTTGATTTTTTCACATGTTAATTGATGTCTAAATGATCCATCGGAATGAAAAGATAATAATGTGCCAACGAAAACGCCCATTGCCGACACAATAATATGACACTTTTGATAAAATGTATTTTATGCGCTTACAGAATAAAAAATGTTTCGTACATTTATATGAAGATTTTGAGAGCATCTTTCACTCGTTTCTATTGATGAATTCTTTAAAAAAAATTAATTAGCTTGACCGTTAACCTTTTATCCACCGTAGATAATTCTCAATTTTTTAAAGAGTGCGCTTGCGAACGCTTCATAATAAAAAAAAAAAACACCGAAGATATTGAAAATAAATTTCGAAAAATGGCATCGACTCCACGAGGAAATGCTGCGCAACGACCAAATGGATCGGCACAAGGAAAGATCTGTCAGTTTAAATTGGTTCTTTTGGGTGAATCAGCTGTAGGAAAATCATCATTGGTACTGCGATTCGTCAAGGGTCAATTCCATGAGTTCCAAGAAAGTACAATAGGAGCAGCATTCTTGACTCAAACTGTTTGTATGGAAGACACAGCCGTCAAATTCGAAAGTAAGTCATATCAAATGATGGTTATTTTGTTGATTTTTATTCGAAATTTAATCATTTATATGTCATTCTTTGTTCACAGTATGGGATACGGCTGGTCAAGAAAGGTGGGAAACAAAAACAGTCATGCATTTATAAAAATTACATTTTACTTATAAAATGTTTTTTTTTATTTTATTTACATAGATATCACAGCTTAGCTCCGATGTATTATCGAGGAGCTCAGGCAGCTATCGTTGTCTATGATATTCAAAATCAGGATAGTTTTCAACGTGCTAAGACTTGGGTGAAAGAACTTCAACGACAGGTAAGGATCTGTAAATGCGATGAATCATTCAAATCTTTCCTTTCAAAACATTGACTAATTTAATTATTTTCGTTTACATTCTATGTTTATCATCTTTTAATAACAAATTTTTATACAAATGCAATTTGTTTGCGGAATATTTAAAAGGCTTCACCAAACATCGTGATTGCTTTGGCCGGTAATAAAGCTGATTTGACAAACAGCCGCGTTGTAGAGTTTGAAGAAGCTAAACAATATGCTGAAGAAAATGGATTACTATTTATGGAAACATCAGCCAAAACTGCAATGAATGTTAACGATATTTTTTTGGCAATCGGTAAGTCGATCAAAACAAAAAAACACTGATTTTTCAGAAGTAAAAAAAGTTGATTCTCGATGATGAATTGTTCGTTTTAGCTAAAAAATTGCCAAAGAATGAGGGTGCCGGAAGTCAAGGAAACGGCCAAGGTAGAAGGCTAAATGAAAATGAACAAAACCGACAACCAAACTCCTCAATAAATTGTTGTAAGTGATGTTATGGTAAAGGTATGTATTATTTTCAAAAATTCACTCATCCTCTAGAATGTGCTCTAAATATATGGAATTGAGTCATTATATATCGATTTTATTTTATCTTCCACAGATTTCACTGGCGATAGCTTGTTGATTATACATAAAATATATTAAATGTAATTGATTTACACAGAACAAGTGGGCTGGACAAAAAAAATAAACAGCGAAAATTTATAAATATTCATATATTTTAATTATTCTTTCCATTTAATTTAATGTTTATTTTATTAGTATTTTCTGTATTAAACAAAATAAGAAGAAGAAAAAAAAAATTGCCACAAATCAGATTAAAAAGAAAAAGAAATAGAAGAATGAAAGTGAAAAGTAAAAAAAATCATGGTGTACGATATCTTGTAAATCAGCCGTTGAAATGAATTGCAAATATACAAACACGTTGTTCATATAATTTGATAATCACATAAATCAAAATAATGATTTTGACCAAAACAATACATACTAAGCAAACCATCTATCGCATGATAAAAACAATATATTCAAAAAAGAAGAAACCGTTTGAATAAGTTAATGAGATCCATAAAAAATTGATGGCTTATTTGTGCACTTCTGTCATGCATATTGGTGTGAGTGAGGTATTATTTTATAAGTGTTTGAAATTAGCTAAAATCCTCTTTCGTTATTACATCCGTCGATAAAATGAAACTCAATGCAAATGCGATTTAAAAACAAAATAAAATAAGTGTTCTTGTCCGCAGTGTCATCTTTTGCAACACGTGAAACATATTCCTTTGTACTCCTGAGCTATTTTTCCCGATTGATAGTAATGTTTCTATCGAATTCTCTACTTAAATGTTTGTCTTTTCATCGCAATAATATAAATCAAATGAAAAGTCGTAAGTGGCTGAACACTTTTTGTAGCTGCGCTCAATAATCGGTTAAATAATTAAACATTTGGAATAACTATAGCAATTAATGTTCATTTAAAAAAAAATCAAAAGACGTCACTTAATTGGGCATTTTTCGTAAAAATCAAAGATCCAGAAATTGACCGTGAATTACCATATAACGGGCAGTTACAAATAACGCGCGAAAGAGTGAATGTTTTAGTTGGCTTTATACATTCAAAATTTAATTTCTGTTCGAGAATATTCACATGCATTTTTTTGCATTCTAATTCTATTTCAAAGAATTCAAATAATTTTTCCTTAAATTTATTCTAAACGTGATTGCTTCGTTTAAGTTTCTTCTTGTTGAACTTTCAAAATTACACATTATTATTTCACAAAATGAAAGCAAATTTAATTAGAATTAATAATTTTAATCGATATACACACATATATCTATATATATATGAAGAAAAAAAAAAGAATTTTTTACGATACTTTATGAGAAAACAAACAGATTTGATCAGTTAGTTTCCTATTGATAAAACGAAAATCAGAATGGAAAAAAAATGAGGGCATACTATTGAGCGATGAGATGTAAATTAAACTCATCACCTAATTAAATAAAAAATAAAACGATTAAAAAGACAGCATATTTTTCATTTTTCTCATGTTTTTTCCTTGGTTTGTTTTTTCAGTGCATTTGAAATTTTATCATATGAAACACCTGGTAAGTTTTTCTACGTAAAGTGAACTATGCGCAATGAACGGTCGACTCTAGTTGGTCAACTCAAACAGCTGTCACACATTCAGTTTATCCCTCACACATGATGGAGTGGGGTTTGTGAGTTCCGCTTGACATACTTCACAATGTTTGCTCCGTTCTACAAGCACATAGAGACTGATAGTGTGTGCTATTAAACTATTGCTTACATTTTTCTGGAGACAATTTTGTATTTTTTTCATTTTTTTTTAATATTAGTGTTGTATTATGTCTGACAAGTTCAAATTCAAGGTAATTGAAATCATTAAATAATTTAACATTATATTCACGTTAATCATCAGTCAAAGGTATTTAACCTTTTTGATCGATTTTTGAAATAAATAGTTTTTCATTTGTTTCATCAAAAGTACTTGGATCCAGATTTCATAACATGTTTACAGGGAAATGTAAGAAAGAAAATGTCGTGCAACTTGAGTGAAAAAAATTTAACGGTAAACAGAGAGAAACCAAAAGACCAACCAGAAATACAAAATCAATTGGATGACATAAATAAATCGTTCAGTTCAAAAACAAAAGTAAATAGTGCCAGTTCTGATGCAAAGTTGCAACGACAACGATTCACATACAGTGAAGAGCCGAAAGAAAGTTTCAAAGTCAGAGAGTTGTGTCCAACGAAAAAACCTCCTATTCGTATACACCAAGAATTTAGTGATATGGAAACAATTCTCTCGAAAATCACGTCATTACAGCGATTGATTTGTTCACTTCTTGATTTGTTAATGTAAATAACATTATTATTTTCACTTGGAGCATTGTTAACACAATTTCTGAATCAAACATTTTAGGTCAAACTTTTTACAAGAGAAACTATATGAAACGCCAGCTGAAATGGAAAAATGTCGTAAAAGGTCTGAAGACTTTTTCAAAATGTTTACACGAAATCACGCGTATCCCATTGAACTTCTGGTTAGTATAACATGGATAACATGGAAGTGCAAATACACGTGCAATATAACAATACTTTTTTAGATGGACGAAATTCTGTTGAATAAAAACTTTTCTCCGGTGGTATTTGCCACCAAAGTTCTTTCTTTGTACAATTTTTTGCAAGCTGCATTGTCATCTTATGTGTATAGCATGAAACATCTCTTGAATATTGATGTGCCATCAAAAATTATGGATCTTTTGAACTTTGTTCGAATAACAATTAAAATGTGTAGCAAAAGGATGTTATTTGATGAAGAGGATAATATTGCAGAAGTAAGATTGTCCCCAAATATACTATCTAATATGCTTTTAAATGTCATAAATGTATTTTATTTTCATTATAGCTTCTTCTGATCAAAGTGAACGAGGTACTTTCGAATTTGGGAGCTATTAGATGTTCATTGAAAGAACAGGAAAAATCTTCGGTCAAGAATTCCAAAAAACAAACACGTCATTTGAAGACTACCCGTCGTCTTCCCATTCAACCAAGACAGAAAAATAAAATTAAAACTGTAAGTTGTTTTTCAAACTCCAATATTGCTTGTTTATGACATGAAATCTTGTATAACTTTGTATTATTATTGATACGATAAGAGAAAAAAAACGTCAGAACATAACGTAAATAGAATTTTTTTTATTGGTAATTTATTGTGATAAATAAGAAGCGAATTAAATTCAGAGAGAAAAGAAATTAACATTCAATAAAGCGTTTGGTATTGTAATTCTGTTTAAATGCAGCTATTGCAAACTGGCATATTGTTTTCCACTGCAAAGGTGTCCCCTTCAACTGGCTTTTTGCACCGCTGTATGAATAGAAATAAAATTAGTTTAGTTTGTATTTTCAATTGGTTTGCAATATGAAAATTAATGCGCAAATCAAAACATGCTTTTTTTTTTTAAATTAAAAACAGATTCCCGTGTGGAAAAAGAGTGACTGACTGACTGGTTAGCTGAAATCGACTGAAATTGAACTTGGTTAACTGAAGTCGTCTACCCAGTCGCCTTTAGTCGTCTATGTATGTCATTTTAAACAGATGACTGATTTGGGACGTTTTTGTCTATATAGTCAACTGCGATTGAAGTTGAATTAAGTTGTATTTTTCTCTACTAATATTGACTGAAAAATCAGCCAAATCAACTTAAAACAACTTCAATCTCAGTTGGCTTTAGCCAAAAACGTCCCAAATTAGTCAGTTAACTCAGTCAGTAAGTAATTTTCCACAAGGGTTTCAATTGGTTAATTTATTTTATATGCTACGTGTTTTTGGAACATCATGCCTAAGTACGATCATATGAATTAACAAAATATAAAAAAATGAAATTCAAATGATTGACATGATATTCCTGCCTTCACAAAAAATGGTTCCAGTTCAAAACACAAGCAACAATCATTATAGAATGAGAGAATGGATTGTCTTCTTATTAATCTCATTGTTAGTTCAAGGTCAAAAGTAAACTCATTCGAACAAAAATACATTATAAAAAAACAAGATACAAATCATTGCGTTGTAAAAGAGGCGACTAAAAATAAGTAAAACCATTACATTCCTGATAGTTTTAGACACTGTTTTTCTGTGACGCATAGAATACCATACATTCTATCATAAAAAAAGATATTCCGATTTTGGAGTTTTGCAGTTGCCTTGTTGAAAATATTTGTATTTCGCCTTCTATTAGTGTATAGCAAAACAACTATGACTGTTTATCGAATTACTATGTATGGCATAGAAAGTTTCATATACATGTATCATCTGCTAGGCAATACTTCTATCTGCTATCGCAGCACTGGGAAGTATTTGAACTAATGCCGAATTGATGAGTCGTAGTAGAGTTTAGCAAAAACAATATATATGCAAAAGTAAGAATAATGCTTTAAAATCTCATGATCTTTGATAAAAACATTTGGCATATGTTCAAAAAATATCTTTTTTCCCGGAAATGCTTCCTGTTGATCTCACTCAATGAGCCGTTATTTGAATTCTATTGTATAGAAGTTATGATTGTTTGATATCAAAATTATAAAAAAAATATCAGAATTAAATTTTTTCATAATATTTTTGAGAAAATTTCTTTCTAAAAGTTTCATCAAAATCGGAAAAAAGTAATGCGTCTCAAGTCCATTTTTGGATAAAAATCGATTAATATCACAGTTGATTCGACCTTAAGCACGTTCGTTAAATGCCATATGTAAGCATAACTCATGAGTTTGTGGCCGATAGTTATGTCTCCCCAGGCTACTATGAACAATTGTTCTAGCAAATGGTTGGGTGATCATTGCGGATATTTTCAATTTGTTCAAAGAATAATTTAGCGGTTCAAGTATTAGATGAGTAAATAAAGCGTGAAATTACGTTGCACACAAAGCAATCCTGATGCCAGTTAGAATTCAATGCAATAATCGTTTTCTCGGTTATAGGCTCTTCGCAACCCTTACATTTGGCGGCAAATAGCTTCTCGAAGTCGGCTTTACAGAAAGGCTTTCCGTCCTAAACAAAAGTGTCGTTCGGTAAAAAAAAAAATTGACAACGATAATCTTTTTTAAGTATACTTTTAGCTCCTCGTTAATAGAGTTTTATAAACTTACCCGTTCAAAGAATGGCACGGCGGCCATTGGCTTTTTACATGGTCCAGCGCAAACGAAATGGTCTTCGTGCCAAGTCTTTCCCATTGCTTTCACTACTTTCTGTTGTTTAAAAATATCAAAAGTAGAAAATCATATTCAGACATTATATCGATACATTTTCAGTAAGTTGATTCAGCTCAGGAAGCTGAAGTCAGGCGCTGAAATGGAGGGAAATTTCTATTGTTTTCACTCCATTTCAAAGTTTGAATGATATTTTTGAGCAAATAATCGAAGTTAAGCAAAATGAAATCCCAATAGATGACAGCAAATCGCTTCAATATGTATTTGTGAATATTCGGACCGAACAGCAAAGACTCAAACACTGTGTTCTGCGATACATACATTTGATGGGAACATTGCTGTCAACCATTGTTAAAAAAATCTATTTTTCAAATGTGGTCATTATCAAACTTTTGTTTACAATAATCGATAAAATTATAGATGAGACGTGTTGCTCACAGCATTCTTTTAAAGATAATATGGTATCTATGAAATAGACTTGAATATTCCCAAATGACATAAAATGTTTGCGCATAATATAAAAGAAATCACTGATCGTTGTTATAAATAAATCATTTCAAGTGGTGACACCGATTGGTACTATAAAACAAATAAAATATAATCAAATTCAGTGTGATGTCAACAAATTCTGTTATTGTGAATCATTCTCGCCAATCAATACAGTAGAAACATTTTTATACTATTTTCGGTTTTATGCTTGAGAAGCATGGAAATAACCAAAAAAAGTTATGTGTGGTATATCTGCCAGATGATTTAATTCAACAAAAATTTTATGTCAACTGATTCAGATTCTGTAAGCATCCGAGACAAACATTTGTTGAATTTTAGGTATTTTCACGTATTTTATGAATATAAATTGAATAAACGAATTTAGGCAATTTTATGCGATAATGATTATGATGATGACAACATTGATAAATTCAACTGTAAAAAATACTCCAGAGAAACAAAAATAGTATACTTACGCCCACGATAGCCTTGTGGCATTTATGGCACTGCTCTGAGTATTTCTTTGCGAAACAATCACTGCCAATTAATTAAAAATCAAGAAAAATTTGTTTAAATGAACCTTTTCATTATCGCAAAAAATATTTAAATGTTAAAAAAAGATTGAAACCTGCACACTGAAAATCAAGAAGAAATGTTTAAAATTAATTCTTTCGTTGTCGTACGAAATTTCAACTGAAAAAAAGATCCATACCTGGATTTCCATCACGTTCGTTAAATGTAACTGCCGTAATTGGTTTTTCGCAAACCAAACATACGAAATGTTCTGGATGCCAGCTCTTTCCCAATGCAGTAAGGGTCTTTTGAAATACAGAAAAACAAAACAAAAATTTAAACATAAAAGATGGGAGAAATGTTTGTTATTGTATAAAACTTAGAGACAAAAAAACAAAACACAAAATATTGTCCTTCTAAACATTTTATGAGATCAATTATTAGAGAAATGTTCAGCCAAATCGAATGAAAACAGAAAGTGTGGAAAATTCGAAATGAAAACAGATTTCAATACACCCACACGTTCGTGGGTTTTTATGCTATTGCAAGATGAATCTAATTATAAATCTCTGCTTTTCATCTGACGAAATGAGACAAAAGAGTATACAGAGGAGAAAATTTTGGCACGGATTTCCATCTGATATTATATATTGTTCACAATTAGTTATGGTTCTTTCATTCGGAGCGTTTTACTATGACATTTCTGACTGATCAGCAGTAAAATCCACTTGTGACTATAATTCATCTAACGTTCTCAGAATATCATATTGAATGTAAAATTGTTAAAATTAATACATTGTCGTGGATTTTTGAAGAAGATCTTTTAAATTTCGAGTATAAGTATAATATTATATACTTCTTTTTCAAACTTTTCATAAATACAAAATCCCAACATACCTTTCCTTTGATTTCTCCCTTGCATTTTCCGCACACTGTGGGCTCAGACTGAAAAATAAAAAAAAAGAGATTTGGGTGATTTGATTTAAAAGAAAATTACTACTTTTTTTCATTTCATTAAAAGAATTTAAAAAAATATATATTTCTATTACGCACAATTGAAGTACGTTGAATTTATTTTGTATAAGTTCAAAACTGTGTTTCAAGTAATCCTTTAAAAGGTGCAATCAATACACAAAATGTTATTAAAGAAAAATGTAAACCCGAAATTAAACTGTCGCATTAGTACGTTGAGGTGAACACCAAAAGTTAATTGGATTTGTCAAACAAAGTCAATAATCCCAGGAAATACATTTTTTTTTCCTGAACAATGAAGTGCAAACAGTCGATAAATCGACGTAATAATCAGAATATCGTTGGTGAAGCTATTTTGACAAGACTTAAAGTCAATTATTATCATGCGCCAATAATATCAAAATAATATTTTGAATTCTGTTAACGAAATGATGTCATTTTAAGCAAACGAGAAAAATTAACATAAATTAAGTCAATTGACTAAATTCATTTAAAATAATCGTAAAAAATGTCTTGAAAAGAAGCTATGAATGTCGTTTATACATTTTGATGAACGTTTCACGCCACAAAGGGAAAGTTGTTCCTCAAAATAATTAAGTAATTCATTTGATGACAAAATCAATTGAATTATGGATGTAAAAATTAGCGTAAAAATTTGCCTAATGACCATGATCCTTATTTCACACATTCCGATTATTTTAATGGAAATGTTGCACTATTTCGACGCATTTTTCTTTGCTGCCAAATGAAATTCAGTTGTATTTGTAATTGAGAAGATTTGTCGATTGAATTTAATTAATTCAAACTCGTTTGGTAGACTTTTCCGCGTCAAATTAATTTCATGATTCTATTGGATTTGTGCATTCCAATATATGGTCAAGTGGCTTTTTTCTTCAAATGATATTGACGTTGTATCGCTTGAATGCAATTTACTTGAAATCTGAATTTCTAATTTACTGATTTTCTCCTTTATTTTCGTCACTAAATAAACATTTTTACATCAACATTGCATTAAATGAGATAAGGTTTTTGCAAAGTGCTTGATACTGATGATCACTCGACAAAAAAATATATATATTGCATAAAAAATAAACTATCGCAAATCTATTCTGATTCACTCACCATTTTAGATAATCGTTATTTTACGCAAACAAAAAGTTATTTTGAACAATAATAAATCACTGAGTGTTTAGCAGAGAACACAACACGTTTCGTTGGAGAACAAAATTCAACTGAATGCTCCCCGACTCTGTTGACGAATTTGAAAGAAGATTGAATGAGTAAGCTATGATTATTATTATTATTACTATTTTTTACACTGTGGAAGCGTATTGTCATTCCATTCACACTAAGATAGCACTTTGATCTGCGCAACTCCATCGGATATATATACAAACGTATAAATGTATCATATACATATATATTCATAATTTATTGGTGCAAAACCAAACACAGTAAAACGTGATCAAATCATATGAAGAGGTTCGCTAACCTTACTCAAATTTGTTTGTAAACATAACTTACCACAGACACCCGGTTTGTTGTGTCTTTACTGTATACTGATATAAAAATAAATGAATCAAAACGTTGACTGTACTGTAGAAATTCATATCGCTATCGATATATTAAAAACAAATAATAAAAAAAAAACATCTTTAAATAATTTAATAGTTATTTTTAAATGTCTCATTTATTTTATGTATTACATAAAAGAAATTATGCATCCCCCATTACAGAATGATACACTTTTTTCACTTTAAAAGTAACACCCTCCAACGAAAAATAAGTGAACATAACAAAAACCATTGTTGTCTAAAATATAAGCCAGCTTCAATAAAGATGCAAAAAAGAAAACAATTTCAGTCAATACTTTACAAAAATAAACATTTAATAAACACAATAATTATCAAAATACTTGTGTTGTGGACAAATAATAATAAAGTATGTTTCTTTTCTGTTTTGATAAAGGTATCGCATAGCAAAAACATTCAAATCGCATTGGATAGAGGAGATCAACAAAGTCAACCACAATCCACACACAATACGCTATCACGTAGCTATGACATAATTTCGAGTGCTACAAAATATAAGACACCGCTTAAAGACAAATTAATGAAAGCAAAGTGTGAATTCAATGACAAAAAGAAATTTGGCGGCACCAACGAAACAACTGTCTCTTCTTATCGTTTTCTTCCGAATAAACACACTTCTGTTGATGATTTCACAAGTGGCGAAAATAGAAAAGACTCCGGATTTATGTAGGTTCTAAAAATTCCGCGGACGAATGGAAACAAATATTTTTTTTTTTCTTTCGATTTTCATGATGGGTTATTTTTAGCATTTCTTTCATTTATAATAATAATCACGATGTAGACAGTACTAAATCGTTGAAATATTCTTTATGCGAGACAACGATTTTTCGCTATTTGAAATTTGGTATTGGGAAAGCAAGATTGGCTTCAAATCCCAAAAGCCATAACATGAGCTGTTCAATTCTGGTTTGTAATATTTCAAGTTTTTAATCGGACATAGAGCAGTTCATGAAACGATGATATGATTTAACTGCTTTAATAAAAATTTGTGTGGGTAAATTACAAATTTTTATTGTTATGACAACGTTCTTAAAACTTCACGTGCCTATACCATAATACTTTGGTTTACCTTTCTTTATTCAACCATGTTTACGTTAAAAAATCTTAAAAATACAAGAGTTTTTTTCTTTCGATTAATTAACATCTCGAAAAGTGGGGAAAAAATGTAATTTCGATTTGCGTGCTTTTAATGAAATAATTGACTTTTAATGGTAACAAAAGTCTACATCAAATTGGTTTTGAAAACGAAAGTTTAGGGCGAGTTTGCAATTCCAAATGCAAACTATTTGCTTAATTAAATCGATGCATGTGTGAAACAATTTCATTTGGGATTTGCTAACAAGAACATGACGAATCAAAAAAAAAAAAATACATACAAACAGTTTGTAAAAGATTTGTAATTGGAATTACAGAAAAGTAATGAAACCAAATGCCATGAAACAATCAATTTGTTTACATAAATAGAAAATGAACTCATACGATTCATATCAGACTGGAATGTTGTTGTTGCTGTTGCTATTTTTTGGCAACTAAATGTGAATCACATTTATTAAATGAAAGTCAAATCATAAATAAAAGAACAAAAAGATGAAGAATGATGATATACGCATTCATTTAACATATTTAACATATCGATCAAACAATCGTTCCAATCGATAAATTGCGCGCTAGAACTTCAATGTCTACAATTACAATAAAAGTGATTAAATCATCGATAGTTATTTTTATTATTTTCGAATGTGTGTTAATTGGTCTTTTATTTCCCGATTTCATTGTTATTAGTAAGCAAAATCATATTCAAGAGAATCACATTAAATACAACTGTTTTTGGAAATCGAACTGTTTTTGGCGCTAAATACCAATTTATATTCATAATGATTGCCTCTGATAACATCATTTTTATCTGTTTGTGCATTGTATTTGACACATTTTATTTATCATGACTTGAATTCTTCAAGTTCAACTTTAATTTGATTTTGAATTCTATTTTAAACAGCAGTAGAACATGCCATGTTCAACATGAAATGATTTTCTACCTTTGTTTTTATCCACAGAATCCAAAAAGAGGACTTATTTAAAACTAAACAGATTACGTCTTCTGATGTGAACACCAAAGGAAATAGTCAAATTATTAAAACGGGCAAAAAATCAAAAAAATTATTAAAAAGGTAAAAACTATAAATTAAATTAACGAAATTAAATTAATCTTATCGCAATTTTTCGTTTCAGGATATCAGAGGAATTGAATAACGTTCCTATTCAATTGGATTTTGGAGAGAAATTATTCATTGAAAATTTTTTAGCATTGGAAATCATAACTTAGAGAATTTTTAAAAATTGAAATTTGTTGCGCAAAAAAATCACAATGATAAGTGCCATGCTGACAAACAACCAACTTCATTGAGGTTCTTGGCGAACTGACGTTTATGTCTAAAACAAGACAACTTATTCATTGCAAAAATTTGTTCGAAGTTAGACAACTTCTTCGGCAATCTATTGTGCTTTTTTTTTTAAATAATAATTTATTTTAAATTCAACACACCTTTTGAGTGTATTTTATTTATTTTTTCAAAAATCTATCAAATACAATTATTTTAAAAGTTTTTCGAGAATTTAAAGTAATCAAATTAATATGACAGAGATTTTAGAACATTTGAAGATTGGTCCGAAAGAAGGAGTCACGTACCCAGTGACAAATGTACAATACTGTGGTAATTGTTCGATGCCAATCGAGGTAAATCATTCAAGAGTTTATTTAAAGGTCAGCTTAGTATTTATTTGAATTATTTTAGTACTGCGAATATTATCCAGACTATGAAAAATGTAAGGCATGGCTTGAAAAGAATTTACCCGATGAATTTTCAAAAGTGAAAATCGACGACGCATCAACTGATGATGCTGGTGGCGAGGATAAAAAGAAGAGCCAAAGACGTGGCGGCAAAGGAATGTTAAAGGCAAAGAAAACAAAAGAAGATGGCCCAAAAAAGGTGTGTGTATCAAGAGCACCACGCGGCAAAAAGAAGAGTGTTACTGTTGTAACCGGTCTTAGCTCTTTTGGTATGTAGCGAAATATTGCGTTTTAATCAAAGTTAAAATTGTTTTACAGCGGTGAATAATTCATATAAAAATGAACAAAACACCTTTCATTTGCTCAACAGATATCGATCTGAAGGTGGCTGCCAAATTCTTTGGTACGAAGTTTGCGTGTGGCTCATCTGTGACTGGCGACGATGAAATCGTAATACAAGGAGATGTTAAAGACGACTTATTTGACATTATACCGGAGAAATGGCCAGAAATCGATGAAGACCTGATTGACGATTTAGGAGATCAAAAACGATAAACTCAATTTCTTTCTTTTTATTTACTTATATAAAAATAAATGGTATAAAATGATTCATGTTGTTTCTGGCAGCAGCCATTGTCTGGAATGTTCAATAATTTGATTTACAGCTTCTTCGGTGAGACGTTCTTCACTGTCTTCAATTTGGAGTTGAATGTGTAGTGGTGTTGATGGCGGATCGTTGACTAGCATCACACATTCGGCTTTTGTCAATTTGAATGGTTTCACTGCATTCAAAAATCCCATTATTTTTTCTTTTGTAAGCGTTTTGCATGGTGACTCCTCTAAGAATTGGATCGTCTGGAACGGATAAAATAAAAAAAAAATTAAAATTTTGAATGAAACAGTCGATATTCAAATTTAATAAATACCTCATAAGTAATGGTGGCCAAGTTTCTCAATCCAAATTTGCTTCTTTGGTCTTTGATGTTTTTCAGCGATTCCATAACCTCAAAATTTGATAATATTGCATAGCATGGGTTGACACTGTTTAAAAATATAAAATTTACAATTTAAATTTTGTTGTATCAAATGAAATGAAAAAAAATCTAATCCATATATTAAAAAATCCACACTTACACCTCCATTGTGCTTCAAATAATATGAGTCTTACTATTTGTCTGGCTTTCGACTTGCAACTGGTTGAAATGTCAAAATGTTTTGAACGTAAACAACATATTTGTGCGTGTGTGTGTGCTTGCATGTGTATGTGATTTGACGGCCTAAGAAGAAAACAATAACATACAGAATATTCTGCAAAAAGACGAATACAAATTTATGTGAGCAAAAACCAAATATACAAACAG